TGGTTTAGATAACCGGTTATTAATCCCTGATTGCAGGGACCTGCCAACTCACCTGCCAATTCTGTTGCAATGACCTCGTCAACCCCCACTTACTACTTTAAAAAGCTTAAAGTAGAGGATTTTCTCGTTTTCTTCGCTACCGATATACTTTTCTACACCAATACTTCCGCTTTACAACCTATAAAGAAAACTTTCGAATCGTGAACTGTGCCTTTAAAGGCACGGTTCACGATTCGAAAGTTAGAAAGGAGCAACATTAGTGAAAATTCAATAAGCTTGTCGACCGTCTCCTACAAGTAATAGTATTCGGCTGTATTCCTACTATTCGACTAATATTCTGCTCTATTCTGTTCTAATTATTATTCTCAGCCGTCATCAAAAGGACCAGGCACAATAATCTAGCATAATATCAGCAGCAGAACAAATAATCTTGACGAAGAAGCCAAAATCAGCCGTTTGAGCGTGTTGTATGTAATTGCAGACATTACGTCGCATTCGTCTACTCGCCTGGAAACTCCCTTAACGTTTTTTAGCCGTGTAACTCGTCCAACCCCCCTTCTCTCTTCTTTTTTCAAGCTTTGTATTCCTTTTTATTCATCGTTTTTCGCGTTTTTTGCTTTTCCGCTTCTGCACTACTGTAGGCCGTACCTAACATTTTTCGTCAAAAACCGGATACCCCAAAATTATCGTGAGCTGTGCCTTTAACCCAAAGCGGGATTCTTCAACGACAAAGGCTTCTTCTTATATATTTTTCTATGGAATATAAAGCATTTATGCGTTCTCTTTTTGACATTTCCTTTGATCAATGTCATACGAACAGTGCAAAATTATAAATCATTTTAATATTCTTCATTGCATAAGAGTCATCACGAGGACGACTATGAGTTGCGAAGGCATGGAGAGTCCTAAATATGGCTGCAGCATCGGAAAGGCCTAAGCAATACGATCAACGTAAATGAGCCAGACAGCTGATTAAAATGGCCGCTCCAAGCGGATTGGAACTCCCGGGATATATTTAGTACATTTACGCTTGAGTAGCTTCCAACACCAGTTCACTATGGACGTAAACATCATCAAAATACTAAACTCCACGAAGGATTTCGATACTTTCCGAATAGAATACCGGAAGCAACACACAAACATTCGTTTAGTAGGCTGGTTGATGGAACTGAGCTTATCGAGGAATTTGAGATGTAGAATCAAACACAATAGTTGATTACCTGATTATACACCACGATGAAAAGCAGTCCACGTTTTTTTTTTCTACCTGATTCCCATTCCCGATAAGGAACGCTTTTGTAAATGCTGTGTGCTGAGGAGTGATCTGTGCAGTACCGTAACCTTTTCTACCTGGATGCTACTTTTCGCAGGGGATATCTGATAACCTTAGAAGATTTTGTGCGTCAGAAGGAATAAGCCAGCTGAACCGTACACCTATATCATGTGATTGTTAGCTTTGGGAAGCAAAGCTGATAAGCCTCATATCTGACTAATGCTGTGTAGTAGTCAACAAGTCCTAGGAATCACAGTTCTCATAGAATCTCTGAGTGATAATTGGATTGGGACGGTTCTTTGGGCTAGGCCATTTGCTTGGCTTTTACTGAGCTATTGATCATATGGAGACTGTTTTTTCGGTAAGCTATAGGGAGCATGGAGCATCACGGATTTCTAGAAAAGATTAAAACTTTGCAGGATTTTTTTTAGCATTCAGGAAAATCTATTTTCAAGAATCTCTATTTGTGAGTAAATTAAACTTCTAAAGTTTCTTGGCGTCAATCATTCCTCTGAAGGAGGTGCCCCGCATTCGACTTCCACTGAAATCGCACTGGCACGTTGCTTGCGCATGTGGCCTGAACAATGACTTGCGGTGGCATGCTTATGTAAATTCGGTGATGTTATCCTCCTACACAAGTCTGGTAACAAATACCTGACTCGGATGGATGAAAGGCATGGTTGGCCTTGGCAGATATCGATCCGGGAATCGAACCATGCGTGTGTAAAATGCGCCATTTCCAACTAAACCACTTCAGAGTACTGTATGGGGAAGAATTCATCATCCAGGTATAAGCTGACTTTCTAAGCGACTAATTGAGCACGACACACAATGAGACACTTTGTAATAAAGTTAAATGTGTGGTGTACACTATGTTCAATACAATACTTCTTTCTTGGACACTTGTCATGTACTGGACATTGCAGTTGCATTGCATGCAACCGCACTTGTAATTCGAAGAGCCACTTTCCATTCATTCAACAGATAAGGCTGCTGGCTCTAATGCCGTTTATTTCAATACGTCGCCTACTGAGTTCGCCGACTACTGTATTCCATATTATGCATTTGGTTCAGCAACAAAAATATATTCGTTTTCTTCGGATTTTTTTNTTTTTTTGGCATTGCTGAACTGACGATGGTAGGGAAGTTTACAACAGCCTGATTATGCGCATGAAATGGCCCTCCTACAAAACATGTAGATCTGAGAGGAAGTAATTTGAAAACATTTCTACTTCCTCAAATGCGCAAAATGACGCCATGCTCAGCATGCTAGCAAATCTACAGTATCCCGAGAATCACCAGCAGTTCCGGGTCCACCTACTCGTACACGACCTAAGAAAGATCAGTTGTAGGTGCTAGTTTAGATGCTTGATGACTCAAATGAAATGATGTGACTTTGCAGCTATGTATAACCAACAATTACACATTCGAATGAACTTCAGTTCATTCGAATGTGTAATTGTTGGTTATGTGTACATAGCTGCAAAGTCACATCATTTCCGTGTCTGAGTCGGTAAACTGTATGTTGCGGGACAACTATTATAGAAAATGGGGGTATAATTGGCATGGCATAATCACAAGAAAAAGAAAGGGATACGTTGGATCATACAGTAAATGTTTGTTTCTTTCAGTATCACTTGGGTGGTGGCGCACATTACATACCAGGCGACCACGCATATCGTATGTATCGCATGCGCTAGGGGTTCTAGCCATGAGGGACGGAGCCAGATGAGCTGTTTCCATTATACACCTTTACTGGATTTATAAGACCCCACTCAAACCCCGCCTCCTGTGGGCGGAGCCCCATCCTGGTACCCACCATAAGTGTTCCCATCCTGTCGCCTGTGCTCCTACAGTCTTTGAACGCTCTAGTTCCACGGGACAAGATTCATGAGTTTCCGCTCGAACTTTACCCCCTGTGGGCGGAGTCTGATTTGCCACCCACCATAAGTGTTCCCATCCCGTCGCCTGTACTCCTACCAGGTTTGAACTTTCTAGGTAACCGGGGACAGGAGTTTTTCAAAATTTTTTTCTCTCTTTTTCTCCCTCCCCCCCAGTTCAATCTAACGTACCAATGCACACCTCTAGCCACCCTAGCCACCTTTAAACCCCAGTTTTGAAGCCTCAGCAGCAAGTGAATTAGAAATCGTGATTCTCAGTACAGCTTATTTCAATGCACACATCAGCTTGGCGGAGCCCGCCCACTGTGGGCGGGGCTCCGCCAAGCTGATGTGTGCTTTATACTTCTCGGGACATGGCCCAGCCATCCCATGCTTCAAATTCGGTCTCTCCAAGCAGATCTAAAGGAGCTAAGGAATTTCGTGACAGACATACAGCTAGAACGACAGGCCGAAAGACGACAGACGAAGCGTTTTATATTAAGTAGGATGCACGGTCACGCGTTCGAATCCCGGAGTCGCCCAGGATCCCCTGTCTTCCAAGACTTTGTTCTCGATCCCCTGTCGGCTAATTGGTACCAGACTCGTCTAGGAGAATAAAGGCACGTACTTGTCCATCGGCTTGCCACCGCAGGTCATTGTATAGGCTACATACGCATTCAGTACGTCACTGGCTGCTTTCATAGTCCGCTGGCGCTGGGGGCTACTCGGCCTGCGGTATCGATCAAGATTCAGTTTGTCAACAAAAGGCAAGCGCTGCCCCCAGCCGGCGCGCGCGCGTGTCGGCCGGTGGACTATGGAAGCAGCCGCTAGAATTTTATATAGAAGTCGCATGCGTGGGCGCATTCCTCAAACGGGAATGATTAATAGTCCGAGAGTTCAGTCAAACAATCAGCTTTTGGCAGCAGTTATAGCTTACAATTTCGCCTCATTTTTCTGGTGTTTATCGATTGGATCTTTGTGGGAATTCGATCGATATGCTCTCATCGACATCACTTACCCTTCTTGTACAGGCTTGTGCGCCACCAAGGAGAGTCGTCAACAAGAGTATTTTTTCAGAATTTTCATGTTTGGCTGACTCGAACGAAGCTGCTGCTGAACACTACAGCGTCTGATAGGGCCTGAAGACAATGGACAGTAAGAAGCAATCCTTTCTGGGATATGTAAGGTGCGATAAGTAACATGGGGTCGGTATATAACGTTAACTGGAGAACATTGTCTTCATAATGAATGTGAAAGCGTAAACTTCCATCTGAACGGTGGACAGTCTCTGCATGGGAATTGAGCATTAGCGACCGCGGCGGTCTACCTCTGTGGGACTGTTCGAGTAGGGGTCGATCCCATTCTCTAGTCGAAGGCATCAACACCTCCAGTGATCAATGGAACAAATTCTGAGTGCGTTAGCAGTAAATCAAAGCTCAGCGGCTTCTCGATATTACTTTATTTCATCTCTCTTCTCTTTTATTTCTCTCCAGTTCTCATGTGGCTTTGTCTAACTTGGCTCTCCCGAGAGCCTTTGAAACCCAGGAATCCTTCCCATTGGGTTTGATGTTTTGATTCGGCCTAAACAAGATCAGATCAATTCATTCCTCAGTTTAATAGCTTTACGACTGATCAGAGAGATCGTAAGCAATTTCGCCTTTGAAGGCTTTTTGAAGAACAGAAGGGCATCCGACACGTCAGATAGCGATCAGATGCAGCAGGTATCATTGAATGTAATGGATGAAAGTTTGATTGAAGTTCAAAACGGTTTGAGTCGAAACTGACAGGAGTTGCCCGGAGTGAGCATTTCGCGGTATATTTGGAACATCTGTTATATGAAAGCGATTTTATACGGAAAGCAGTTGAGGTGTAATGCTTGGTGAGATCGCTTCAGTCGTCTGCAGAGTTAGGGCAGCGCAAGCTTGGCCGACTCGGAAACATTTCTCCATAGGTAAGCCGTTAACCATCCCGGCTAGGATTCCGCTGTTTAGGCTGAAATTGCAATTTTCATTGAAACTTTTGAAACGGGCCAATTCTGGTACTGAATGTGCGACCTATCTCCTGCTCCCGACACGGAAACGACTTTGCCACGTTCTAATGGGGTAGGTAAGAGTGATGAAGAGATGCTTCCGTCAGGTCTCCTGAAAAAAACCGAGTGACTGGCGACCTTCCTCTAGCATTTATCCAATCAAATGATTCTGTTTATAGTCACTTGGCGTTTTTTNNCGTTTTTTCCATCGAGATTAACATTTTGATTCAAGTGAAGCTCCAAACAAAATACTGGGAGGTACACATTTACGAAGGAATAGAAGAAAGAGTCGAGACTGCGTTTTAACATGGCCTGCTCTAGCCCTGCCCGGTTTTCTCGCTTTTTCTGATTTAGCACCGTACCTTCCCTTCTCCGTCGAAAGATCGAGCCTCTTCGAAGCTCGGCATTTCCCTTTTCACTGCAGGCTTTAGGTACTCAACTGGTAAACAAAGTTTACTACAACAGCCTTTCAAGAACTTTTGTCCATTCTCTCTTTCCGCCTACAAGAAACAGTTCAACGAGTTGAAAACAACAATGACAGTGAAGAGTGACTCCCCAGGCATCAACTCAAATTGCCAACCCTATAGAACAGGGAGCGACTTTTGACCCTCCTGACCGAATAAAGCGAGCTCTGTACTTTCTTGACGATATTTCTCTGTTGTAAATCTCCCCTTTCCTACGTAACTACTTCTTCTCATTCATAATGACTAGACTGCTGCTGATCTGAAATTACGTGAACGAAGAACAGTTATGGAGTTTGTTCGCTGCCCTGTGACCTGATAGAAGGTGTGATTCCATTCCTTTCATTTTTGCTTATTATTTAATTTCATTTCTCCTTTTCACTTTGCTTTATTCTTTTCCTTTTTTTTGGGAGGGGTGTGCGACTTAACAGTCATTAGTCTTTCCCAGGGAGAGGTGATTCTCTGATGTATGTATGTTCCGAGACTCACATAAAAAATAGCTCGAAATCTGCCTAGGATTGGAAATTGGTTACCCCCAAATGATCGCAATATCGATATTCGCATATCGTAACCAAATCTATGAATAGATCAACTTTTCGGAATCGCTAGAACTTCGGTCTCCAAAATATGGGTGGAGTACATGACGCGATGTTTTCTCTGCTCACAATGCTGCAACCAAAAGCTCCTTCGGAGCGTTGAATGATGAAACCTCTAGAGCAAAGATACCTAAAGATGATTGCCGTTCCATGCGATGAAAGGGTTACAATGAGCATTTCCAGATTGTACATGATTTGTGGATTGGAATATACGAAATCGCATACATGATAAGGTGAGTGAAGTACGTTTTCTGAAAAATATAAAATTGGCTTTGAAATGGAGTCCTACTGAAACTGAATACCTGAAATCTCGAGACCGCTTCTTTGCACCATTTGACGAAATTCGTTAGCATTTGGTGATATGACCTGTATCTGTTCCATAGCACCACTATCAAAAATTTTACGAAGCTTGGCAATGTCTGTCGGTTCGAACCAGGCTAAATAGCATTATAGCTTACCAAAATTGTGTAGTAAAATTCAAATAGGTCAGCCATAGATTTTTGAATTTTTCTCTAATTTTTTGGCTGTAAGGCATACCTTGCTAGCATTGTGAAAGGCACGGTTCACGATGAAAATGGTTACTGAGTTCTTCCTTCAGGAATACTCAGTGGCCCCCAAGGGTGGTAGAAGGGACCATCTCACCCCCAAAATCACGACGGTCNACCAAAATTGTGTAGTAAAATTCAAATAGGTCAGCCATAAATTTTTGATTTTTTTCCTCAAATTTTTTGGTTGTAAGGCATACCTTGCTAGCATTGTGAAAGGCACGGTTCACGATGAAAATGGTTACTGAGTTCTTCCTTCAGGAATACTCAGTGGCCCCCAAGGGTGGTAGAAGGGACCATCTCACTCCCAAAATCACGACGGTCAGGGCATAGTGGAAGCCCTGTTGCTGGCTTGAGTGGCTTTCCCGCCTCTCGATCGATGTCACGTCAGACGAGTGTAGTGGCAATAGAGATTGCGATTATTCGTTCTAGGACCACAAACGACCAGCTGTTCGCCGAGTGATGGAGCGATGTTTTTCTCCCATTCTTTTTTCCTCTATTATTCTTTTCGCTGCGCGATCTCTGTCTTAATGCAGATCAATGCTATTTTTGCTATTACTGGGGTTTTTGTTTACTTATGCTTATAAACGAGTGGATTATTGCTTACCGTAGTCAGTTATTTGCACCAGGATCCACACGTACGCAATGACACACTGTGCGTAGCTCGTCCGAATGCCCCATTCCTCTTCATCCTTCTGGTTTCATTCTCGTCCCGCCAACTTTTTAACGACTTTTTGAAGCCTTTTTTCACTTCGGAAACACCGATCCACGCAGTTCCTTCTCCTCCATCGCACTACTTTACATCTTATCTCCCATTTTTCGTCATAATCTCGGCTGACCAAAATTATCGTGAAATGTGCCTTTGAGCAGTTATGACCTCACTCTCAAGCATTTCCTTGAAGATCTTGGCCAAAAAGAGCAAAATCTATTATTGAGGTAAGTCACTGTGTGCTCAAACGACGTGGTATCATTCGACAAAATCGCAGACATCATAGGATTACGATCCGTCTCCTCAATACTCAATCGCTTTGGCAGAAACTCCTAAAGTCGGCCTGAGGGAAAGAGATATCGGCAGCTCAATCACTGTAGAGTACGCACAAAGTGATAGGCTTCGAAAAAATGCAGAGAACGCCTGACATGGCGAGTTAAAGGAGAAGCGAGGGACTGAAGGTGTAGAGGATGGGTGAAGTCAAACTAACACCATGCATGTGTGAGCGCATAAAACTCGAATACAAGTCTACGGTGTGTCGGGTGACTTTCACAAAAGAGTTCTTCCCATATCAGTTCCCCTCTTCATTTTTTGTTTTCAAGCGATAGACGGAGATAACGCAGTGATTCGTACAAAACCGCAGATGGTCCGACCCCATTCTCTGGCTCTCGGGCTCTTCGACTTCCGAAAGCCGTCAACGAGGTCACGTTCCGATGGAGTTCACCACCGACTGCGACTCCGCTAAACCGCGAACTTCAGCCGAAGTCACTGGATGCATCGTCTTCCCCCTCGTCAGAGATCCAACACTATTCGTTGTACACACGTGTATTCATATCGTCGTATCACTGTATTCCACTCCCTTACCGAGCTTGTTCCGGTATCGTCCATGTTCTACGGATAGACGATGTATGGTGTGAGGTTGTTGCACTTTGGATAAATCAATCATGACCGGAGGCTAGAACTTGTTAGCATATATAAATCTAGTGGGCCGGATCAATACTAAGGTCATCAGTAAAACTTATTACACCTTATGTGGTACTGTCGGCATCGCTGCGATCTATTCATGGAGATTCTGTACTTGCATTTCTAACTCTGCCGCAGGGCGAATGAACTATAAATTATAGTTTGTATTCATATTCTGCTTGTTTTGCTATGGATATTCTTTGAAAACTTCGAGAAGCCTGAATCTTAGGATAACTTTGAAAGTGGGTAAAAGCAGGCGGTGGTTACGTTAAACCGGGACTCGTCCATCTTGATTATTTGCAAATGAACCTTTTTTGTGGTAGAACGTAGATAGATCAACTATTCTCTTGATAGTCTGAGTTGAGAGGTTACCATCGAATAGGATGAAATCTGCAGAAGATAGGAGGTTTTCATGTGATGTGACCTGGAATTGCCTCTGGGCTTGATTTCATAAGTTTGTCGATCGTATGAGATACAGCAAATCCTACCAATTCAGGAGAAATTCTTTCAACAATGTCTCCGATAGAGCTGATACCAAATCGCACTTCTCCACCAATATTAACTGACATATATTTGGCTGTTGGCAAATCTTCCACAAACTCCACATTCGAAGGCTCCTGCAACATTGAAAGAGTGGAATAGGATACCATAAGACTAAGCTTTTCCATGAGGTCAGGTAAATACCACATTGGAACGTAAATAGGAAATGAAATACTTACGATATGAGGGCAGCTGTCCAGGAAATACCGCCCTTCTTGATCATTTCCTACAGCGGAAATAAAAGACACATCACATCCTAATCTGAAATTTGCAAACGCTTCAATATTATTAACAAACAAGGGGTAACCGAATTTTTGGACGAGATCTTTAGCTCCTGCACTTCCAGCTTTACGAAGCATGCTGCAGATGTTACCTATCTGCCAAGGCTATTCTACATGATTCACTACTCGTTGTGCTCTGATATGCGAAAGCCAACTCAAACTAAGGCCAAGACATGCCAATAGAGGCCGAAGCTGTATCAAAAATTAAGTTCGTAAAGTTGAAGATGAATGGACTGCGGAAGTACAGTTACACTGCTCTGATGAAGTCATCTATCACCTCTGCGATCTTTGTAAATTCAGTTCACATAAATATTTGAAGTGTTTAAAAACAATTTTTCAGGGACAGAGAGAAAAACGCTGAGCTTCGCTGTGTCATCTTATCAACATTTGTCATAACGTACAATTTCCCATGATATTGAACTTTTTGCAATGTCTGATGCTTTTTCTCCGCCAAGAAAACATGGACAGGCCGCGAAGCACTCGTCATCGTGTAGTCGTATAGATACCCCATGATTCGTCATAGGAGTGCCCTTGTGCTCCGATGGTCTTTCAAATTGGTCTAGCACTGCACCTATATCTCAATACGGTAGAACTATTTCATGATCCATTCGTATCCAGAAAATCTGCCGGAAATCGAAACACGGGCCGCCCGCGTGGCAGAGAGCCTAATACCATTGAACAATCGATGCAAAAACCATCCAAAAAAAACCAAAAACCATTCAACTACGTTGGAAGCCTTTATTCAACAGAGGAAAAGCATTGAACCGCTTGATCAACCGCTAATTGATCGGCAAGAGGTTTCAGCCAAGGGGGAGGGCGTTCTCAGTGATGCGCAAGATAGAGAAATTATTCTCGAAAATGCTGAGTTCATGGAAGAAGTTCAAGATCTGGAGGCGAAACGAGGCTACTTAAAAATTTTCCGGAGCCCGACACTCAGGAACAAGAAGACGCGCAGCTGAGAAGTCCCCCGACGCTGGAATTTCAGCACTGTCCTTGAGACGGGGCAAAGCTGTACAGACCAAGAAGTGCGACAGCAATTGAGCTTTCGACAAAAGCCAACCTGATTACCTAGGATATTTGAACGAGGTGATATTTGTCTCAACGAGTCTTGTCTCTCTATCTTCATGCGTTGCGCTTTTTGTGAAGCAATGGGAGAACACTGCTCTGACTCATGCCACGTAGTCAGCCTGGTCAAATGCAGGTGACATCTGTAGGTAGAAAAAGACCATGTGTTCTTTGCTTGGAGTACTGAACACTCAGTCAATTTCGTAAAGAGCGCTCTACTAACTGTTACCATTGCCGCGAGATTGGCATCACTCTGCCCTTTTCGAACTGTCAAAAGCTACACGGCCGCTTATTCAACAACTTTAAGGAAGACACCGAAGATAACACAGTAACACACGGTAACACAGTTCAGAATGAGCGCAAGAACAAAGGAACAGTGAAATCTACCGAATCTACCTCCTATCTCTACACTCTATGTACAAAACAAAGAAGGAGCTGTGCAAAGAGAGGAGCATAAACGTAGCATGCACAAGGGAAAACTTTTGGATATGGGAAATCGAAGAAAAATCTCATGGTCCTAAGCTCCACACGCACAGCGTGCTCGCGATGATGCGATGAGAAACATTTGGTGTAAAAGATCTGGAGTCCATGCGGTGTTGCACTGAGATGATGGGTGTCAAACTCATATTCAGCTTCGAGACAGCAAGCTCTTTCCGAAAAATAGACGATTTTCTGAGTTTTTCGACAAAGTAATGAGGAGGAACCTTCAAATTCAGTGGTTTATGTCACGGAATTACCGCGATCGTGTTGGTCTCTAATGCGCCGTGCGCTCACATTTCCGTTTTTCTCACAACAAAACAGGAGCATGCGCGTTATCAAAGCGACTCATCTCTTAGGAATCCAGCGAGTCAAATAAAAGAGGAAAGGGAAGCTCTGCGCATAATTTCTTCACTTTCATCGGTTTGCCTCATTATGCGCCTTATTGTGTCTCTTTTTAGCCTGGATTGTCAACCTCCCTGATTATTATTCGTGCGCGTGCTCTGCACCTCACACTCATTGGTTGCTTATCATTGATTGTTGATTATAAATATTGTTAGCCTGCCTTGTTCTAGGTGGACGGTTTAATTACCCAAGCTTGAGGATAAAGAACTCGTGCGCTGGTGTGTCGTTTCGTAATAAGTGGGTTGCGCGCAGGCGATATTTTTACGCAACATCAGTTTCAATACACAGCAAGACAACAACAAGCCACTCCTTACGAGAAGTACTGCCACTGGTACCATTACGGCTGACCAGCTTCAAAGCTAAGGACGTTGCGGAAGGAGTACGAGAAGGAAGACGAATTCACGAAAGCCGACTTCGAAGATCAAACAAACTAGACATTCCTAAGCAACTTATTACGGACTCCCGCATAGAGATCATAAACAACTTATGTTGCCACCAAATCCGGCCGAGGCGGAGGAGATCGTTCACGAGATCTTAGAAGCGCAAAACGCAGTCGAGGAATTAGTCCTCGAAGAAGAGGTATAACGTATGGATACAGGCGCTGCAATAACAGGAGATCAACCCGAGTTCATGAGAGATGAAGAGCTTGAAGAGAACTCGGAGCGCGATAATGAAGCGCTCAAAGGGAACCAAAACGGCGCAGGAGGCGAAAATTAAAAGGGAGCGCAGCATAGAAAGTGACGCTGAAAACGAGTAAAACGCAGACGACGAAGATGAAAGGGAGCGCAGCCCAGAAAATAATGATGAATACGAATGAAACGCAGGAGGCGAAGATGACGAGGAGCAGGATGCAGGAAAAAATGCAGTAGAGTAAGAACAAGTACTCCAACAAAATGACGAACAAGATGAACGCACAGACGACGCAGCTCCCAAGCATCGAATACGCTTAATCGAAGGGCACATACGAAGTATGGAACAAGCTATTTTGAACTTCGACGTTCAAATAGGCAAGTGCGGGAGGAACCAACGTGCCCTTCTCGACGACGTCAACGCGGAAGAATAGCGCGCGAGCGGGAAAGTTTTATGAAATGTGCTTTCTGCGCCGTCACTGGAGAAGATCATTCTGATTCATGCACTGAAGTGGCCACCGCGAGAAATCGACGATACTCTGTAGTAGCACATGATTGGTGTGAAAGGTGTTTGAAAAGATAAGATGTCGCGGTTCGTACTAGCCTCTTATGTGCCGTGCACTCACGTTCCCGATGCGCTTCTCACAAAAATCTTTTGGGAATTCAACGAGTCAAATAAAAGGAAATCGAAGAGACCCTGTAGTAGCACATGATCTGTATAGAAAAGGGGTTCAGTGGAACAAGTTTATTCTTCACGCTGGAACAGTTGCATAAAGCAATAACAAATCTTCCCCTCAGCTTAAATACGGCTCATGGCGTGTTATAACATTACAACGACTCAAGAACTNCGGTAGGCGGAAATGCCATGCATTCAAAACATTCGTCATTAGCATAAACATGCATTATCGATCGACACTGTCGACCAGAGAAGAAAGGTTGTGAAAGTTCACGACCTACCTGTCGTGAACTTCCACAACACTGCGCGGGGCATCAAATAAGAGACTAAGTGAAGTAAGAAACAAGCAAGTCTGACAAAGGATATGAAATAAGACTAATATAAAGACGTAAAGTAAAACAAAAGGATGAATCGAAAATACAATCGAATAGAATTGATCACCGTGAAGACCATACACTGCTAAGCAAAGGGCGATTGACGGCGACAAGTCGGCTCCCTTATTGGCAGGCGATGCGCATCCACGGTGTCAACGACGAGCCCAAACGACGATGCGATGAGATGGTACGATACGACGATGGCGAAAGCGTGCGGCATCAGACCGCGAGACGAGAGCAAAGAGTGGCGTTAGACCGCTGGACGAAATTTACGGAATGCGAACCGTACAAGACATGCGGCATCAGACCGCAAGGCGAGAATACAGGCAGACGACCATGACGAGTGGAGGCGGCATTAGGCCGCAAGACGACACGAAGAGAAAAAAGAAGAGGGGGGAGGGGGTGTGCGCCGGCTGCTTTTACACCACCAGCGCACAAATAGAATGGCGAAGGCATAATGCGAGCTATGGTAGAGAGCGTGCTCTGATTGCGATCCGCTCTCCGCCCTCAAATTTTTCTCCTCTTGAATGGAGAGGAGGACTGCGACGATCTACTGGGGCATAGCAGCGCATTGTGGTCTCTGCCGCAATACGTACACTGTACTCCACAATCGCCAGGGTGTCTGGGTTGGAGACAACGATTACACAGCTGCAGATTTGTCGCTTGGACAGCTCTAGATACTGGATCGGGGAAACGACAACACCTTCCTGTTGGATGATTATCCTTGTTATCATCAATGCTGCAAAAGAGGCAGCTTGATTTTGGTTTTGTTCGGTCCATGAGTTGATCGAGTTTCTGGTTGAAGATGTCCGCCTGGCGAGTCAGGGTTTCTGCGATTGCATCCAGCTTGGCGTTGATGGACATAGCGAATACATTGAGTTGGTCTTTCAGTTCCTTAACGGCTTCGGTTAATGGCTCGACATGCAGGGCGACGTCGACTATGTCCATGGCTATTCCGAGGTGCAGGATAGGGAATACTGTTGTGTGTTGGAGACGGATCTTTATAAGCACTGCAAATAACGCTGTCGATGTTTTCTGATGGAAAGTGAAAACATGCTGTTTCTTAGCATCTCCTGCAGTACTGCCATCGGACAGCTTCGAGTGAGTGGGGGTAGCTGCTAGGGAAATACTACGAAAGGAAATCACAAAGGTAATGTCTCAGTGAATAGGTGGTATTAATGAGTAAGATTCTTATCGGCAATGCTGTGAAACACACGGAACACACGGCTGACAGTTTCTACGGCAAAGGATAACATTTTGGAGGCAACGGAAATAGCAATTTTTGTTAGTGCGATCACGAATCGAGACGCTATTTGCACTGTTGTTGTGAGGATCCAAGGCCCAGTGAGGTAAGTCAAGGCTCCTATGATTGTAAACGAGCCGATCACTGCTATTGCTGCCATCCAATGGTGCTTGATGGCCAGTAGGAGTGGATGGAGGTCTGGAAACTTCCAGTCGTGTAACCAGTCAGTTTTACCCTTCCAAGGGTTTCTGTGTGAATCAAATATCTGCTCATCACTGTATGAGCAGGTATTCGAGAGTACCTTGTAAGGGTATTTCCACTGTACGACCGTTACAGTGCGAGTGACAGTGTTCGTTGATCACGGCTTGCGAGAAATCGAGACGGACCGTAGTTGTTTTGTTGGACGGGCTGCATTCGATAGAGAAGACGGTGGTGCTACACTGTATTATCAGCCATGAATGGATGTCTGTTTGACAGGAGACATTGATACGAGCCCCCTCTTGACAGCTGTAACAACCTGTCACTGTCGTGAATGAAACCTTGCAATCTTGCTTGATAAAAAGGGCCGCACTTTCACGAATAAAGGCCGACTCTACTGCGACAGTTACCTCTTCTTTCTTCGAGATTGTCACTATTTCACGATTTTTGGCAACAACTTTGAGAAACGGCGTTAAGATAGGGAGAACATTAGCCTTGTTTGCTCTCAACATACTCAGTGAATCGCTAGGACAATTGCATCGTACAGGTGATACTTCAACGTCACAGTTGCATAGAAGTTTGTTCTTACACTGAGCGAAGCTCGAAGTTGCAGCTGTGGAAGTAGGACACTCAACCGGGATGTTATTATTTTCGGGTACGATGAATGTTTCATTGTTGGCGATCGCAAATCTTCTGGATAGTAGCGGATCTGTTGATGGGGTAAGGGATATAACTGTGAAGGACGTTCCATCTACGTCTTGTTCGACATATGGCCTCAGTGTAAGCGTTCTCTGTGTGGTTTTGTTCAGCAATGAGAGTCGGATATTCAGTCGTACAACAGGCTTCCATGCCATACATCTGACGATTTCATACACTTGTTGACTTTTCGGAACGTTTACAATGCGGTAAAATGAGCAAGACGGGAGAGGAAGTGGACAGCCTCAAATGAAGCCTCCACAGGAGTATTCACAGCCTGAATATCCAGGGTATTGCGAGGCGTCAATCAGCTCATCTATTTGACTTTCAGGCGTGATTTGGGAACAAGTATCGTTGTAACAAGAACCAAACAGAGCACATCTGGTTACGCTGTAGGTTTTGGGCTGTGTATCTCTTGTGAAATACAAGGTGTTTCGAGAACAAGTCATTTCCACCGCCAGCCTTTCTACGCGAATGGTTCCCACTGTTTTGTTGGCGTGAAGGATATTTATGCACACCACATGTGTAAGCTCGTTAAAAAGAATCTCCCGATAAAAGTGGAACGAACAGTTACTTGGGGAGCTGCATACCATGTCGGCATTGTACCGAGCGTAACCGTGTTGACATGATCTCACTGTGACGACTACGGCAATTACGATAGCAGTTATCAACGCTTTAGGGGTGAGCTGTGTAGGGGTAAACGTGTTTAATGATATGTGCTCGGTTCCGACAGTTGGTGATGTGCTGCTAGCACACTGCTTAAGGTTCGTTGGAATGGTATTGGAATTGTTCACCATAGACGCTTCTCGGTGGTCCCTTTTCCTCCTCAAAAATTTAGCAATAAACAGAAAAAGGAGAATCGCGATGTATATTACAAGCGCAATTGAAATGAAAGCGCCTATTGGCCAACAGTGTGGGTTTCCGATTAGTCGTTTAGACAATAGTGACTGTGAAACTTCACAAACATCTGGAAGAGTGCACGAGGCCTCAACCTGTTTGGACGTCGAGTTTGAGGTGTATCTTATGGCTATAGGGATTTTGACGCCGTACTGGGCGTGAGGATCATCAGAATATTTCATCTCTTTCGTATAATCTTTGAAATTAGTAATCAGCGCTTTCAGCGTTATGACGCTGTGTAATATGGGCTTCCCATAGATGATCGATTCCATCAATGCAACCTTTGATGTAGACCTCTGCGGGTCATGAAATACGCGAATGCCCTATTCACTGGTTTATGAACCAGATTTTCAAGTCGAAGATGTTCTGAATCACTGGTTTATGAACCAGATTTTCAACTCGAAGATGTTCTGACTCACTGGTTTATGAATCAGATTTTCAAGTCGAAGATGTTCTGACTCACTGGTTTATGAACCAGATTTTCAAGTCGAATATGTTCTGACTCACTGGTTTATGAACCAGATTTTCTCACTTTTCTACACGCGTTTGGCCGATGCACCAAACTGTATAGAAAAGGGGTTCAGTGGAACAAGTTTATTCTTCACGCTGGAACAGTTGCATAAAGCAATAACAAATCTTCCCCTCAGCTTAAATACGGCTCATGGCGTGTTATAACATTACAACGACTCAAGAACTACGGTAGGCGGAAATGCCATGCATTCAAAACATTCGTCATTAGCATAAACATGCATTATCGATCCACTGTCGACCAGAGAAGAAAGGTTGTGAAAGTTCACGACCTACCTGTCGTGAACTTCCACAACATGATCGGTGTGAAAGGTGTTTGAAAGGCGCTCAAGATGAGACATCCAGCAAGTTCTAAACCAAATGTTATCATTGTCGCAGGCAAGGAAGCGCAGGGGTGTGGGAGGCGTTGCGCATCAATTCTCTACTTTCATCGGTTTTGCCTCATTATGCGATTGGACCTTTTTTTAGTTTGGATTGGTAATCTCTCTGATCATGACTCGTGCGCGCGCTCTGCGCCTCACACTGAGTGGTTGTTTATTATTATAGCAGATAGAACTGCTACGGAATTTGTCCTTGTATTGTCTCGTAGAAGAGGAAATGCTTTGACGGCTCCATCCATTCCCATAATTGATCATACACTAATTTGTCCGGTGCTTCGAATAGATCATACTATGCTCCGTATATGAACCCCTGTAGATGATTCTATGCGGCTTGGTTTACTAACATTATCTTTCTATTGTATATATGTTACAAAAATGGTTATTAAAGTTTAATTACCCAAGTTTGAAGTACCGTGAACCACATGATCGCATATGGTGCATCGGCACTAAGCCACGTATCGATACACATCTCGCAATACAAAGAAGCTCTACGAAGCACAATCGTAGACCACGTGGGTCATCACAGCACACACCTCTTCGCTTGTTGCACGCTCTCTACTTTCGCTTGCTCTGCAACTACGACTTTCAAATCACTTTGGGTCAACAGTACCGCTCATACTATCTGTCATCCGCATAGGCGACACTTCTAAGCGCAGCGATGACGTCTTCACTGTCTTCTCGTCAGGGAATCTGACCGAAGGCAGTTCTCGTCTGCCTGTGGTTTTTCAGGAGTTCGATGATGTTCTAAAAATAGAATCGAACTGCCAGCAGCCGAAGCCCAACGATAGAAGACAGTAAAGTTCTTCAACAGAAAATTCGTAAAGCAAAAACGATGATTTAGTCTGAAATGAGTAACACCAACTGTACCCTAAAGAAGACCGCCGACGACCTCAGTTCTGACATACCCAGACTAGACGAAATCTTTCAGGAGGTGCAATCAAATTCGGGAGCGGCACAGGAACTTCTTCAAAAAGCTCGCACAGCCATCACCACTCAAACGTCCTCTACGAGGAACTACAAGAAGCGGAAGAGTACGTATCAAAGCTTCAAAACATGAAGCTGGCCAAAATCAAACATGCGCCCATCTCTATCCCGAAGTTCTGTGGAAAAATATGAGAATGGGAAACATTCTGGGGAGCTTTCAAAAAAGAGAGTATCAAACTATTTCAAATCTCTCGTCGAACTTACCCTCTGGTGTTTGTCCATCCAAAGAAAAAGTACGGAAACACTCAATCTCTAATCGATCATCTTCTACGAAACGCTCAAATGCTACACGCTCGGAGTGATCGACTCGAGGACCAGCAAAAGCTCTACGAACAACTTTTCTCGTTGACAAGTCAGCTACATCTGAAAGGCGAACACATCGATAACATTATAGTTTCTTCCGAAAGCTCTTTTTGGGAAAATTCTCTGAATTAATTCAGAAACATATATTACGCCAAAAGCAGCAACTGCCTGCGGAAACTTGGGAAGCACGATCGTTCTTGGCGACCGCGGAAGACTAGATTGAAACCGACAGGAGTATTACAAAGCAAGTCGAAAAGCATTACAGCAACATCAACGAGTATGCCAACCCGCACTTCAAGAAAGGCTACAGGCCGAACTCTTTAATCGAAGGGCAGTCGAAAGGAGAGTTAGTCTTATGTTTGTACTGTAACAAGAGTGGCCACTCGGCGAAAAATTGGGGCGCGTTCCCATCAAAAGCAGAACGTTTGGAGATCGTGAAGGAAAACAAACTTCGTCACAATTGCGGAAGTAAAGACCATGTCACCCACAATGCACCAAAGGAAACTGCAATATTTGCAGCAAACATGGGCACCACACATCCATCTGTGTGAAAGCTGTCAACTTGGAAAATCCGCAACAGAGCTCCGCCAAGAACCCGATGAACGCTCCCTCACTCAAGCCTCAGTCGACAACAAAGAAAATCCCGCAAGCAAGATTAAACCTTGTTACTTCCATCAACAATGATAAAGAAACTACTTCAACAGCTCTAAATTTCACCACCATAAAGCAGAGCATCGGCACAAAGCAGCGCTGCCGTCGAATGGAATCAGCGCCTGCACTGGCACCTACTCTTTGTCTGCTCGTTCTACCTGATTTGCTTCGTGTCTTTTGTACAACTGATGAAGTGACACCTTGAAAAATCTGGAATTTAAGGCCCTAAAACAAAAAGAAGAACTTCATCGTATCGCAAATCCTAGTGGAATGTTTTTTCACTTGTAAGAATGCTTTTGTAGGGACCCGAGTGCGAGTTTAAAGATATTGTAGCGAACGACTTGCCAAGCTCACCCTATCCACTGTGTCTAGGGGCGCGCTGTTTCGGGGGAAGGTTCTTCTCAGTGGATGAATTCGATACTTACCGTAAAACTATTGCGAAAACCATTGCTGTGATGGTCCGAAACTCAAATGACCAAGCATTAAACTTTGTTATCAAAGAAAACATGCCTTGCAAGAGCATCGGCATGGTTTCGACCAACTCCACCACATCGCCGTCTCAATTCACCGAGGTAGGAACCACCGTCGTTCTAAAATAATTTCAAATCCGTTAATGGAAAACAGAAGAAGAGGGCTTGTACCTTCACATCTTCGTTACTGATTGCTTCTATGTCTACGATAGTTGCTCCAATGACGACCTGCATTACAAATGATTTTATTTTCACTAGGTACAAAATCACTCAAACAAAGACTAGTACAATTATACAATTTTTGGCCGTTTTTTCGTCTCCGAATCTTGCTCTCTCCTCTCCGTTGATGCTCTGGCTTTTGATCGCCAAGGTGATTTCGATTCCGCTAGGAGTCTCGCCAAACGTCCAGCAATTCGAGCATTGTTCTCTAGCAGGCCGATATCTGACAATGAAAAATGGTTCAATTCTAGCACACTCTGATGTATTACGTTACTAACTTATTCTCATTGATTCACCAGCAGTCAGCTGGTTCACTCTTGATAGTAGAAATGGAGTGACATCCTTGGAAATGATGTTCTTAGACCTGAAAAGCTCTTGTAATTTCTCATTTCATGTTTGCTTACGAACGGTTGTCATCCTTTAGAGACGCCTTGAGCAAAGGCACTAAACCTTAAGGTAGTAATGCACAACGCAGAGCATTTCTAAGTGACGATTCATCCATCTCCTTAATTTTAGTAAGGAATCTAGATCATGTTCTTGCCAAGAAACTCATTCAGCAACAGAAGAACAGCATGGAATTTCGATTTTTTTTAGCTTCTTCGAGGCCAGTTCACAGAGAAAGTTGATTCACAGAGGAAGTTGAAAGGAAAGAACAAGGAGTTGTTAGGCATTATCAATGGAAATGCAAATGCCAAGAACTCTAGAATTGCGCTTCTCAAGAAGGTCATGCGAATCTGAGATGAATTGGACCGCAGAGGTTACCGGCTGAATGTCTGGGATCCCCGAACCAACACTGACGTTGAAGGGACATCAGAATAGAGCTGTTTTGGAGACGGTCCGGACTCGCTTTTGGAGACGGAGAGGGATACACTCGGTGACCGCTTCGGTTCAAAACCGCTATGCTACAAAGACCATCTCTGAATCAGCTTTGAACGAAAAGAATTTGTATTACTCGATTGAGGAGTACTCCGGGGACTACACACCGGGAAGACAGGGATACTATAGTGACTATCTACCAAACACATCGAACCAGTTTCCGAGTTGCACCTACTAATCGTTAAAGTGATATTCTTCCGCAAAGGCTTAATTCGAATCAATGGAAAATTCATTTGGCACTACATCAACTCTGAATTTGTAATATTATAGTCGTACTTGGCTTCTTCCAGTGCTGTCTGAACAGCGTTCTCGATAGTCTTTCCATCTCCTTGGAGTGTATCCGGAATAGGACATGCAAGAACAGTTCCAGCTTCCAATCCCAATGTTTCCGACATTTCTTAAAATTGTACGAAAAAGCAATGGTTACACTAATCAGTTCAGAAAGTTAATGGATACCCATATTTCTGACGATGTCGGCAAGATTTTCGGTACAGAATTGGCCTTTGGCTTCCGTTTCTTGAGTGAAAAAGCCAGGAAACACATTACGTTTACCAAAGACTATGCAGTTCACCGAGTGTGTTTCCTTTAAAGATGGTTGGCTCGAATGTCCAGCAAAATTGGGAAGTGAAAAACAAGCTTTCTACCAGAAATTCAACTGTTTTGGGAATGTCCAATATGCTCTTCACTCCAGCACAAACCACAGTCACAGGTGTGCGCATTAATTCGATGAGATCAGCTGAGATGTCCAGCGCTGAAAATATTTGGCTGTTTTCCAACACAAGTTCATTATTTTCTTCCAAGTCTAAAACGTAATTTTGTACGAACTTTCGTCAACTCCTCGATGAACACCACCAATACCGCCAGTGGCGAATACCCGAATCCCAACCATGTGGGCGAGATACATTGTTGCGGCGACCGTTGTCCCTCCAATCAGACCCTGAAATTCTCAGAAATGAGGCAATCAACTTAGCCTAATGTGAAAAAAACTGAAAATTTGTTGTCATCAGTTTTCGTATACGATCTACAAGCCAGTATGGACAATCTTACCTTGTTGAGAGCGTAAGGGATGTCTCTCCGAGACACTTTCACGGCCTCCCTCGATTCGGCGATCCTGGTTAAATGTTCGTTTGATAGGCCAACATGAATTTTTCCATCCAGAAGAGCAATAGTTGCTGGTTCACACCCTTCACTTCGTACGACATCCTCCAACAACTTAGCTGTTCTGAAATGTTTCTCAAGCGTTTGGAACCATGAAATGGAGTTGTTATTGATGATTTACCGTTTGAGTCCTACACAAAAATGACTTGAATGATTAGTGGCAGTTGACCCTTTGCGTAAAGGAAGCGACTGCCCTATGAACTCTGTCAGTTTGCGTGAAATTCAGAGTGGCAATGTTCCTAGCCTTTTTTTACTGCTCGATCCTCATCACAATTTTGGTAGAACGATGAAAACTTGGAGTGGATGGCGGTACTTGTCAAAGTAATTCTGTACATATACATCTCGCAAACTTCTTACTCTATCATAACCTGGCCGAACTTGATCCACACGTCTCTTATCTTCGCCGATCTCAAAAACCAACCACATCCTCATAATTTCAAATTTGTCCGCGTTGCTGGTTCTATGCTTCCGTTGAATTATCTACCTCCAGACTATCTCTCCCGCTCCTTCCTTTGTCTTAGATGGTGACTCACGGTCATGTGATTTTATGCCTGTATCTAAGTAACTTTATTAAATCGCAGACGGAGAATTAGCTACATAGCTAATCTTGAATAGCTGATGTATGTCATTTGGATGATAAACAAAGTGATCCAGTTGTCAGAGCCGATCTTTGGATTATCCCTGATGATACCTGCATCTTCCTGACAGTCAGCTCGTTACAATAAATAGCTTAACAACACCATAAACGGAAGTATGAGGGACCATGGTCAACAACGTTGTAAATTGGAAACATCGAATCGAAGTACTTTTTCACAAACTCACTCTAGATTGTTGGGATACGGTAGGCCATGAGTGATTACAGTACTTTCGAGGGCGACGATGCCTTTTTTCGAAGCTAAGGCTGAACGTACAGCAGAGGAGACAACTATCGGGGACGGAAGAGTTTGTAGCCGCCTGCATAGTACAATGGAAAGACGACTGAGACTCATTCACTTGCCTACTGCTGAAATTTCATTCAATCAATAGGGTCCACGAACAGAATAAATCAATAGCCAGTCAATGTCAATGGGAGCTGATCGCATACGCTTGAAAACACTTGAACGATGGAATAGAAGCGTTCAAAAGAAAATCATGATTGATTGAAATATAGCGAAAGCAGTGGGGATGGTGTAGTGGCTAGGGGTGCACACTACGACGTGGAATTAATTAGAATTCAGGATCGATTCTCGACCATTTCGCTTTAGCACTCATCCCTCCGAGATCACTAAATTGGTACTAAGCTCCGTTGGGACGATGAAAGTGTTGATATCTGTACATCCCACAAGGCATTTCGTATTCAGCTACATACCGCAACAATCCTGAATGGACGCAGAGTACGGACCGAATCCCAGAAAGGAGGTTTGATTATTTTCAAAAACTCCATCTTATTTCCTTCCATCAGATTCAGAGAAATATTAATCAGGGAAAGAGAATGATAAATATTTAGGGATTGATAACCAGAAAAAAAATCTGGAAATCTTTACTAATGAACGACATTAAATAACAAACAATCAGGAATAAATAATAAACAATCAGGAATACTAATTATCTTTAGTGCTGATACTCTATGGTAAACAAGATTGTCAATGTGCAGGGCGAATCTTTCTTATATGTACACACTTCATACTGATCTTTGGTTAGGAATATTGAGAAAACCAAGGAACAACTGAAAAAAA